TTTCTTTGACAAATGAAACAGAAAGAGTTAAAAAAAAAAAGAAAAAAGAAAAAAAAGAAAAAAAAATATATATATATACAAGATTAAAATTAAAATACATATCCGCGAAAAAAAAAAAATAATAATAATAACAATAACAATACATTTCAAAAATCAATTCTTCACTAATGTTTGGTCCTGTCATTCCAATACATGCTTTAATAATATCTCAGGTTAGGGTCTAGAAGTTCGGCTTCTGCGGCCAAATCTGCAAACACAAAACCAGACATAATAAAGAGATAAAAGCTCTTCCACTGAGTGCATTCCGCTTTCCCGTTAATCAGGTATTTTGCGATGAAGGAAAATACACACTTTCAAAATATATACACATGAAGAATAATGTGAGCAGTGATAGATTTATCAAAGAAAAGGAAAAAAAAGTTGGAATATAGCAATGATTATCAAAGGTTGTTTTTCCCTTATCTTTCTAATGTAATTTATGGTGAGGCTACTGAGAGGATCCTTATTCCAATATGCTTTTGAAATTTTTGCAGGTTATTATTTATATATATACATATATGTGTATGTATATATATATATATATATATATATATATATATATATATATATATATATATATATATATATATATATATATATATATATATATATGTATATATGTATATATGTATATATATATATATATATATATATATATATATATATATATATATATATATATATATATATATATATATATATATATATATATATATATATATATAAATAATGGTCAGCCTCAAATCCCTATCCAGCTAATATAATCTTGGAGATCTAGATTTAAGTTAAGTATAGTTAGGTTAGTATGGATAATTTTGGTTGGTATGGGTTAGGTTAGGTTTGGATAGACTGAGCTGGACAAGGACAGGCTAGGTTACCTGTGGCTGCCATGAGGTAAACTCAGGTAGGTTACTTCGCATTCAGCTGGGTCTGGTTATGTCAGGTAAGTTAGATCCAAACAGGCGAAGACAATTATTATCAGGATCAATTAGAACAGGTACGTCAACCTGATGGTGTAATTTGGAGATGAAAAGATCAAGTGTCAGGCTAGATTAAACTTAGATAAATCAGGGATGCATTACAGTGCTATAAGGTTGCTTTTCTTAGTATCTTATTTTCTTAGAACATTCTAACAAAAAAAGGGAGAAAAAAAAAAACTACAAATACATTCCCCTGAACATAGAGATGCAAGAAATTCCATTCAAGTATAAAAAAGCAAATAAGTGTTGGAAACAGGTGCAATCAATAGCCACAGCTTAAATTTTTGCTTTCCATAAGGAACAATTGAATAAAAAATCATAGAAAGCATTTTTCCTCTTACTCACACATTATCAAACAATACCTAAGCTGCTTAACTTAACTTACAAAAAATAGCAATTATGTGAAGAATGTTCACATCTAATTATCTTACTTTTAAATACTTTCAAAACCTGGCACAAATAAATTACAATTAAACCATTGCTTAAGTAGCATCAGTGTAATTAATTATAGAAATGAAACCTGCACATTATTTATACTGTTTGGATGCCTTAATCCTTGGAAAACTAAGTCACAGACAATATATGCTAGAAGAGCTTTGGTCACATTCAGTCCGAGGCGGCAGATTTCTCTTGAGCACTGGGCAGACCTCTTTCATCTGCATCTGGTTGACTTTCACTGCATGAATTATCTGGGTCTTGGGCATCACTATGGGTATCTGGTGTGGCAGTGTCCCCGCGCTCAATGACTGATGCCACCTCTGTCTGCGAGTGTGATCCTAAGCTCTCCGAGCCCTCGGACGGTGAGGTAGGACTACTACTTCCTTCTCCTGAGGTGAACATCTCCACTTCGCTGTTACTGCACTCAACTGCACTGCCATGTGGAGTGGAGCCTAACAACACCTCTTGATGATTGTAACCAGGGAATACACAGTTGGTTAGATCATTTACAGGCACAGAAGCAGCAGCAGCAGCAGCAGAAACAGCAGTCATGTCAGTGTGAGAAGCAGCCAGTACACTCTCCTTGGCTGTGGTAGGCAGTGTGGCAACAGATGTCATGGTGGCAGCGACTGAGGATTTGGTGTTTGTAGTGAGACAGGAATGGAGAGTGTGTTCTACAGCTGTGGTGGTGTTGACAATGGTGTCTGAAGTTGTGGTGTGAGATGGTACAGAAATGAGGTACATGGGTGAAGATGGTGGCATGTAGGTGTCGTAGCGTTGGTGCACGTGTGAGAAGAACTCCAGTGTGGTGAGGTTGGGGGAGGAGGGGCCAGAAGACGACACGAAGGAGGGGGGTCCAGACCAGCCAATACCTGAGGGAGAAGGAGTGGGACTAATGCTCACACCAGCCCTCTGCCACAGCTATGCTTTGAGCGCTGGTTCTCTAGCCAGCACTCACTCTGAAGACAAACACTGCCAAAGGCAACTGTGATCTCTCAGATATTATAAAATCACATCGTGCACACATGGTTAATAAAGAGTCA